GGTGTCGCCGGGTGTCGGTTCGTGGTGTTGTCGGAGAGGCGGTACCGAGCAACCGACCCCCGAACACTTGCGGGAGGGTTGTTGCCAGGGCTTGCAAACGAGGGACGAGATACTGGCCGACTCGGCGGAGAAGTCTGACGTTAAGAACGAAGGTCCGCAGAGTCCGCGTAACAGTGGGGTGCCATCGACGACAAAATTGCAAGATCACTTGGACAAACTGAAGAACAATGTGAGGAGCGAAGTGCCGGACTGCAACTGCTTCCCCGCTGACAAATGTGAGTTGCTATTGCGTATTCAGCACGACACTAACATTGAGAGAACACACTAACCACGATTATTATGTTCACACGAAAAAAAGAATAATTCTCTTAAAGAAAATATCTGTACTACTACCACTGCTACTATTACTACTACTACTATTACTACTACTACTAATATTATTGGCCAACAAAAATACACCGAGCCTTGATTCAGTGACCCAAAGAAGAATGCACGTACCTAACTTACACCCCTTTCCCAGGGGGCATACCTACTACATACGTGGCATAAATGTTTCCGCTTCTGTTGCTTCCTTTCCGTTGAAACGTCCAGTTTCGTAAGTAAAATGAGGTTCAACCACAAGGTCCGCCAGAGCCCGGCTCGTACTACACTCATCTCGGGGCGGCTGCAAGCCTGCCTGACCTACGGAACGATCTTGAAAGAAGAACCGGCCTTAAGGGAAACGCCATTAGATTCGAAAAGGTGATCTACACTGGAAAGGAGGGCAAGACTACCCAGGGATGTCCGATGGCTAAGTGGGTAAGCATGTTATACTTTCTTCTCTAGATTCAGGTCGAAACGAATTACTCGTCCTTTTTAAATTCAATTCTTATCCAACGTTGCAGTCGATCGCTTTGAATCGTCCGCTAAGATTTCTCTGTACTACTTTGGTGATGGGATTGTAATATCAGTGATTCGCTAGATATTGCGACGATCTGGTCTGGAAGAGAAGATCCTGACCATAGTGAAGCACCGACAAGGGCACAAGTGTCCAACAGCTTGGATCGTCGTAGCCATGGTTGCCTGGGAAGGTGTGCCTACTCACGAAGCCGATCGGATCTACTCTCTGTTGAGTCACAAGCTAAATCGATTCGGTCTTCCCACGACTAGACGGTGTGGGACGAACGAACCGAGAACATGCGCTTGTCAAGGCCTCGATCCCGACACTTGCGGTGCAAGCTTTTCCTTTGGATGTTCCTGGTCCATGTATTATAATGGTTGCAAATACGCCAGAAGCAAAACCGTCCGTAAATTTCGATTGTCAGTACGATCAGAGGTAAGACACGTTTGTTTATTAATAATTGTTATTGTCTTTGATCTTTTTGTATAGTTTTTACGCTTCGTTTTCTCTTTTACTTCAGGAGCAAGAAGTCGAAGAAAGAATGCACGTCCTAGCCACACTTTTATCGCCTCTGTATCTTAGCCTTGCACCGGAAGCGTTCAACAATCAGACACAATTCGAACGGGAAGCTAGCGAGTGTCGTTTAGGATTTAAACCCGGCCGACCCTTTTCCGGTGTTACGGCCTGTATCGATTTTTGTGCGCATTCTCATCGTGATCTTCACAATATGAACAACGGATGTACCGTGGTGAGTAGCTCGAATAGGCACGACACCTACAGTCTTCTGGCTGATGACCCGAACGAGATACCATGTCGCGATATCTCATTCCTCAGGTGGTCACCATGACGAAACATCGATCTCTTTCTAAACCTGAAGACGAGCAGTTGCACGTACTCCCCCTTTACATCATGGATACAACAGATGAGTATGGGTCGAAGGAAGGGCAGGATGAGAAGGTTCACGCTGGATCTGTAGAAGTTTTAAGCAAGTAAGGAGATCTTTCGATCGTGACAACCATATTTTGTATCGTAGCCAACGATCATTGCTCGGAATCCCTTTAGCAATGAATTTTACAAACACATGCGTCGTCTAATTCATAGATATCCCTGCGAAGTGAGAGTTCGATCGGTTCCGCTGCAACCCTGCAGACGACATGGCAAGAAAAGGAAAGAAGACGAGCCAGACACTATTAACAGCAAAAAGGATGGAAACAAAAACACTGGTGAGAAAGCAACGGAACCAGGCCGGGTACCAGGGCATCAGGACCTAACTAGACCGCAAATGAGGGACACTCAATTATCTCTAGAAATGGCGTCCATGTTCGAAGGAATGGATGCCCAGTTGCAAAGCTCTCAGGTATCTTCCACTGTCCTAGACAGTCCAGTGTCTATGTATCAAGGATGGGGTTACCAGAACGAGCAGCAGTGGGGTAGAAACGGTTGGCTCGATCAGCGAAAGAACAACTGGTTAAACCCGTGGAGGGAGTATTCGTTCGGTGGCCTGGACAGAGACACGAAAGTTGATCCAGACAGTACGAGTCTGGATGATATCAGGCCTAGAAGCACTGTCTCTCAGGATGAACATCGGCCAGGATCTCGAAATTTACCCAATTCCACCATGGACTCCCCAAGGAATTGTTATCCACACTCACCGAGAGCTCACCCTATTTCACCAAGGAGTTCTCACACTGGAACACCAGCGGATATTGCATATTCGATGTCTCCTAGGGGATGTCCCCCTACGCCGCAAGAACAAAAGATTGCTTCGCCAAGAAGCTCTGGGTATCCGGAGGCAGGCTACGGTCATCCACTTCCCACCTCTAGAACTTATCCGAATATGTATGACACCAGGCAGTGTAGTGCATCCCCAAAGACAGGCTGTACAAATTTTCCGCCCCATTTGGATCAGAGAAACGCACTCAATCGAATGAACCATCATCAATCGCACAATATTAATAATCTTCGAAACGTCGGCCAGAACTGCGATCAGTCGAAATTTCCGTACTCCAAACCTGCGCAAGATTCTAGTCAACAAAAATACCCTACCACGCAGAACTACTTAGAGGCTCAGAAGTCGCAGATCGAGCAGCCGTTCGTGAACAGGATACAAGGCCACTATCACCCACCTCACCCTGTGCAGTCGAGTAGAAATCTTCCATACCAAGGTCAGCACGAAACGAATGCGGACATGTTCTCCGGTCTGTCGGTGTCTTCTTGCATGGACAACGCTAGTCATAAGGCATTCGGTACTACGAATCCGGATCTATTACTACACAGTGCGTCGCATCTTCCACCGAACAATCCACCGAACGGTACTCAGAGTTTAGAACCGATCGACCAGAGAAAGTATCGAATGTATAAGGCTCCCGAACAAAAACCACCCGGTGCCATTAATCAGATGTCACCGGCGCCTTCTGATCAAATGGGAGGCTGGAACATGCTCGGTACTTGGTATCCCGACCAAAATAAATCCTACGATCAACAACAAGTTTATAACAATCAAATCGGTGCCGAAAGGATTCACCACCAACCCATAGAACACCAGAAAACATTTAATTGGAACGACAGAGTACCTCATCCGGATCAATCGAAACCACCTTGCTGGGAAACACCTACTGATCCCTCCCCCTTCAGGGTGCCAAAGGGTAGACCACCGTCAAGGACAGCGTCGAGCCAAAATCCAAGCATAGACAATACATATCAAAATTCTTCCAATAGAACGTTCCTTAAGCCTCAGGAGCCAACACGGAATGGCGTGTACGCGGACAGTCCGAGCAATAGCGCAGTACAAAGCAGCGGAGCGATGCATCAGGGTAATCATCGAAGACCAGAGTGGCCGGAGGATAAGATGAAGGATGGTTTCCACGACTCCAGACAGAACATCGCGAATCCGAACACGAATTGCTTCACATGGGCGGAGGAGATGAAGCAGGTTCAAGACTTCCATGGGATGCCGGGCTTGGGGCACCCTCACGCTTCCTTCCCACAATATGGACTATATCCAACGTACCCTGTCTTCGATAAACCATACTCCAACTCCTGGGAAGGCTACAATTACCATCAACCTTATCCCCACCCCCAAACACCAGAGTATCCGCCTCAATTCTATCAACAACCAAAGAGAGAAGCCTGTTTTCCTTCGCCCCAATACCCCTATCAAGGAGTGCCCCCGTATCAAGGTCTAAATCCCGGCTGGGCAAGGTGGGACACTCCTCGATGGGACATTTACGGGCCACCACCGTACTTCCCGGTGTTACCAGAGCCTCCTCCAAAGGCGGAACCACTCGGAGAGGTGGCCGACTATTCCGACAACGAAGAGTGCTTCAAGGATTCGCAGATGGGCGGAGTCGCCATTGCGTTGAGCCATGGTAGCGTGTTGTTCGAGTGTGCTAAGCACGAAATGCACGCCACCACGGCCCTCAGGAAGCCTAATCGTCTCAATCCAACCAGGATCAGCCTGGTCTTCTATCAACATCGGAATCTAAACAGACCAAGACACGGTTGGGACGAATGGGAGGAAAAAATGCGACTCCGGAAATTAGGCGTTGCGACGACCACCACTACCACCACCACCAACTCGTCGACTACTTCGCAGTCACTGTCCACCCCGTCAACACCAACCAGCCCAGCCAGCGCCGTCATCAGCGAAAAATCCACACCGCTACCCTACATACCTAGCGTCCCTAGCTCTCAGTTCATGATGAGATCGCCCACTTACACCACGATGACCTGGACCACCCTCTTCCCCATGCATCCGTGCATGATAACTGGCCCGTATCAGGAGGGAGGGGCCATTGGATGAGTAATCGTTGGGGGGTGCGGTTCCAGCCATCGATGACCAAGAACCGTGCCAGGAATCGATCGAGCGATCTCGTCGGGCTGATCGAGTGGAACAGTGGAAATTAGGTGGCATGACCTGGCGGCACACTGTTCGATGTGTCGTGCGAGTACGACCTGGAGAACCTGAAACGTATCACGGGAACAACGAGGGAAACAGACCAGCAACATGCAGCTAACATTTTGTTAGGAGATCAACGAGCAAAACGACAAACGTCATCACGTGGGGCTTTCTATCGTAATTTTATCGTCATTGTCCAAGATGTGTATAGTTGTTACTGACAAAAAGATAGAAGAAGAAGAAGAAACAACACGTTTGCACTGCCATTTTTCTATTTCACGTTTTTTCGGGGAATATAAATAAACGTAACAGTCAGGGGTAACGAGAAGGAGCAGGAAGAGGAAAAGTAGCAACCAGCGGTAACCCGTTCGCAACAGACGTACGTCACGGGATTCAATTTTAATCGGGGCTTCCCTTTTTATATCGATCTTTTATACGAATCACAGTAGAACGTTGCGAACGGATAGGAAGAGGAAGAGCATATAGGCGGATCAGGTGAACGGATATCGGGCACGATGAAAAGCTCTCTGTGATATCCGGGACACCGCGTAACACTGAAGATGGAGGAAGAATACGAGGCAGCTGATCGACAGAGACGTGTCATGCGCTTAGAGAAACACTGATCGCAATCGAGGCTGATTTTCACGGTAACTGGATTAACAACGTCGCGCAAACAAGGCGATAGCGATCGACCACGTTCTTTTCACAGAGAAATAGAGTGACTTCGATGTGTTAGACAATTTAGAATGGAATGAATGGAAAGTAAAAGTATGAGAAAGAAAGACAAAAGAAGAAAAAAACGACATAAAAAAAAATGATGAAAGACGAAGGAAGAATGAAACGTATCCGATTGTACATTTTTTTCTTTTAAAAGGTCTCGTGTTCTGGTAGAGTCGTAATCGTATTTAGCTAGTCCATGCCTAGACACGACAGATTTCCTTCTTTTTTTTTTTTTTTTTTTTTTTTTTTTTTTTTTTTT